AATATCATCAGATTAAAACTGTTATCACGAATCAGTAATTCACGGGATTTGAGGTATGAATTGCAGTCAATATAAGACATATTCACGGATTCAATGAATTTATGCCACAATCCATAGGAATGCGAGTCTATGTAATCAAATGGATTACCCAATAGCATAAGCATCTCTTTATAAGAAGTCATTATTAAAATTTAAAAATTATTCTTATGCTTAACAAAAAAATTTTATAAACAATAATTATTTATAATTGTATTTTTAATTTTTGTTGTTGATTATCTATAAATTTAGATAATTTGATGCGGTAGACAACACTATCAATAACTATACTAGTCTATTTTAAATCATATGATGAATTTAAACATAATTTACTCAAATACTGAAGTAAATTTACATTACAATAAGTACATCGAGTAATTATTTTATAAATAAATAAATTAATATAAGGTTTTAAAATAGTATATTCATATTAGGTATACAAAATACAAAAATTATCTATAATTATTTTTCCATCAATAATATTTTATGCCATAAATTACTTAATTATAGCAAAAATAACATTTATTTTTATTCAAAGTTTGACAATAATAGAATTAAGTCATATGAAATACTTTACTTGATGCAATTAAATATTGATTTTACTCTATTTAGTTTTATGGGCACTAATTTAATGAGGTTGTTTACTATTTGTTAAATAGTTTGCGACAATAATTAAAATTTTATTCTTTAATTGAAACAGATCAAATAGTTTAAAACTATTTTGTTTTAAGTTTGGGTGGTATTGGGTTTAAAAATAAAAATAGCAATAAAGTTGTGATTAATAAATAATGTGTACGAAAATGATACTGATGAGATTTATTGATTGTCTTATTTTCTTTTATTCAAATATATTATGACTTAAGGTATGACGTGGGCCGGGAACTGTTGGCAGATCATATTTTTGCCATTCGAGTCCACTAATTTGACCAGGATGCTAAGTGTCATGTCGGCCGGCACAGGGGGCGCCTGCATCTCAAACTTCATCTCATACTGATTGCCCTTTTTGATCGGACACTTCAGGTTGTATTTCCCATTACAGCCATCCCTGTAATTGTATCCATGATTTTATTATAATTTTAGTTATTAAGAAATTTAAATAATTAGGATTTAGTTGCTAAATAACCTACTCGGTTAAATATTCAATTGCTCCTATATCAGGTATCTACATGGTTAAATATTAGGTTTATTAACAATTTAATTAATAAGTTTCTATTGATGTCTATACTCACAATACCAGTCAATATAACAGTGGCTTTGTCTGAATCCACGTCTAGTTATAGTATAGTAAGAAAAAGTAAAGCTTTTGTCATTCAAATCATTTAGTTTTCACTTATTATACTATACTTGCGGTAAATTTCATGTCAATTGAGGCGGTTTTGCCGATATGTAGCGGACAGTAGTCATCGCTGACACCGCAGTCCTGGACTACAATAGACGTCACTTTGCCGTCGACTGAACCGCAGTCTTTGAACTCAACACATGAGACATCACTGTATTGTGAGATGAGAGACAACAGTAAGACGATTGAGGTCTTCATTATAGATGCGATTGTTTTACAAATTAATTCATTCAACAATTGCTATGATTAGTTTTATTAATAGCATATAAACATAACAGTGTTAACAAATACAATATTTTATAAATCGGTATTTTGTTATATAAGTGATAGTACACATAAAGTCAAAATAATAATAATAAAATATTCATTTAATAGATTTTAAAAATTACTTTTATTTTGCTTGTACAAATTTTGTTACTGTAATAAGTATCTATTGTAATATAATGATTACCTGTACTGAAATGCATACGTGTACATATAATACAAAGTGTTTATAGGGAGCGTGCTTATCTAATTCAGTATTTAGTTTTATTTTTACAATTTATTTTAGCGAATGAGAAGTTTTTTTGCTTATTCTGAAAATAACATAAGTGAATGATAAGGGCGTACTCAATAACCCAGGTTATCACAATACTATTACTAATAGTATTATTGTTTATTCAATTAACTTAAAATTTTATTAAATTTTATTAAATGAAATGATTTCTGTAAATGTCTTCAACAAGTCAGTCAAACAAACGGGTCGTTGGGAACATGGATCAGATATTGGGCTCAGGTATGTATACATGAAGTTAATCACATGTATATTAAATTATAGTTCATTTTAAATATTTATGTAATTTACTTTTTAAAAACTTTTAGCACGGGAACCACTAGCGAATTATAATATGCCAACCCTCTTGTAGCGTTTATTTCTAAAAATAATTTCTAACCAAATATGTTAAATTACTTTTTAATAATATGCAAATTGTTATCGTAAGATATCTGATCCTGAAATATCATCAAATGAAAGCTATTGTCACGAATCGGTAATTCACCTAGGATAAATATTTTTACAATTGTCAACACTTATAGTAAATTTATTTTCAAGTATTTCTTTTTAAAAATTTGTAATTTCTATAAATGGGTTGAAATAACAAACAAATAAAAACACACTTAACTATGAATCCGACCGGATTTCGTGGACTGGGAGGGGCAGTACGTGTGCCACCCAAAGCAGGTGCCGCACGGGAGGTAAGTGCATCTCTCATTACAGGCACTCGCTTTACAGCACCGGTAGTAACGCCGAGTGTCGGACCCGGCTCGTGGCAGACCTCATCCGGACAACAGCAGCCAATCACTACACAACCGGAGCGCACCGTTCGGTCAATCGTTAGGTTTTTCAATCCCTTACCTCCGCCACAGGTAGATAGCCGACGGTCTGAAGTATCTGCACGACAGACATGTCGTCCACTTTGACGTCAAACTCAAGAATATTATGGTTAAGAATACGGGACAGGGAGTGGTATATAAGTTGGGAGACTTTGGGTTCGGCAGGCAATACATGGAGGGCGAGGAGGTGTCCGCACAGACAGGTCAGGGCACTCGTAAATACCACGCGCCAGAAATGCGGGAAATAATGGGCGTTAGGCCTAAATATATGGCAAAACCGGTGAACGTATACGCGTTGGGCATATGTCTGGCCGAGTCTATTGCCGGTATCGATAAGTATAAGCCCTTTTTGAGGGACTGTCGCGTGGGGTCGGGCTATCAGTATTACGGTGTGAGCGACGAGTGCGCGGACTTTATGCGTGCGATAATCAACACAAACGTCGCCCTCAGGTGTGCGGCCGATACGATGCGAACCCACCCCTGGTTTGTCATGAATTGGTCGTAGGTTTAGGTGGTATTGGGTTTAGAAATAAAGATAATAATAAAGTTGTGATTAATAAATAATTTGTACGCAAATGATACTGGTGAGATTCATTGATTAGTAATAATTTATTACTAATAAGTTATTACAGTCAATAATATCTATTGAGTTAAAACAAATGTTACAAAGTTTATAATACAAACTGTTATAAATAATGCAATGAATTTATAATGAATTATAATATTTTATATTTTCCATATTATATTGGTATCACAATTAGATTCACTATGAATTATCAAGATATTGATTTGAGTTTCCCTGATAAATATTTTAATCAAATATATTATATTTATTAATATTTATGTTACATGAAAATAAAAACATTTATTTTGTCTTATATCTTAATATATTTAATAAGTTTATGTTTGTTAAATATTTTGTTTATACAGAATACAAAATTAATTTACAGTTTAAATAGGAATATTATAAATTTTATTAGCATAACGATTTTGTTAAAAGATTTATTTAAATGAATCATAAATTATCATTATTTAAATATATTTTTTTCATTAATGTATTTAATGAAACAAGTTTATGAATGATAAATATTTTATTTATACTGATTACAATGATGAATTTGCAGTTTTAATAGCATATTATAATTTTCAATAGTGTAAGAGTATTGATAAAACATTTATTTAACTGAATCATAAATTACCATAATTCAAAGTTATATTTTTTGCATCAATTAAATTAATTTTTATAATAGCATTATTCAAACTTAATATAATAATTACAAATAACATGATTAATAAGCTATAAGAGGTGCTTAAAATTAAATTATTTTTAATTATATAACTTAAAAATATAATGTGTTTGCAGTCATATGTTTGCGATTCTTATGAAACCTATGTAAACGATCGAGTTTATGCACTCGATTAACAATATGATTATGTTCAACATGAACATGATTAGTGATTACATTACTAGTATTACTAATATTAAAAACATTTTTAAAATATTGCTTCAAATTGTTTACATTAAGAATCAATTGAAGGCATGTTTTGCAAAATAACAGAATAGAGAACCCGAGCCATAGGCTGAGTATACCTCCCATTAGACACAAGTACTCCTCGAGTGACATCTTGATAGTGGTCTCATATATAATGGTCGGTTCAGTCGGGAAGTCTATGACAATTGTATAAAAATTGCGTAATAGTGTATTGGGTGAATAGCTTTTATCGATGGCATAAAAATATCTAGTACACACGATCTTTTCCTTGCAGTAATGCTCACATGCTTCATAATTATCCATGTCAATTGAAGTCGTAAAATATGTTTTATTAAGTTGGTGGCTATATTTTTGATTCTTATAATATAAGCTACCCATGAAAATAGTCAAATTTTGTTCAAGTCCGGTTATATCATAACAATCATTAACACAATCATCCAGTAATTGGCCCTCATCTAAACATTTATTATTTTGAGCTTGTTTCACATTTTTCACAATGGTTTGCCTATATCTCAAGTAAGTATCAACATTGTTGTTAACATCGATGTTCATGAAACCTTGCTTATTTTCCACTCTAATAAGCTGGGATTGTAAATGAACATGAAACTTTATACGTTTGGTAACATTTTTAAGCATATACTCTGGCAGAACAATTCTCATTGTCTCTAACTCACTATTTTGATTAGCATGATCACTATAATTACCAAAAATATCTGCACTCATATAGACATTTATCGGATAAACTGTGAGACAATAACTATCTGAATCAATAGATTCCACATACATATGGCTATCGAAACAATTATAAACACTTATGTTATCATATAACACACAAAGACCATAACTTTCTGGTGAGATTAAATAACTAAATTGCTTTCCAATTGAATATTCATTAAATATACTCATATTTACGTCACCATTGATATTTAATTTATCTTGATCAATTATTGTCTGTTTATCCATACATATGGTGAATGCTGTATGAGGTATGTTTTTATCAGTCATTTTGTAGCGGACATTAGTAGTGGTTTCGTATGAAAAGTATAATAAACTTATTCTATAAGTTTGATACATACATCCCATTATACATAACATATAAGTTACAATGTTAATTATCAATTTCCAGTATTTGTTATTCATTATGAATTATTATATTAAATAATTGAAGTTAAATAATAATTAAAATTAAAAACTTTAAGCAAATACACTTATTGAAAATATTAAACGCAGATATTATAAAAATATAATTAATAAATATTTTTACTTTATTTAATAAAATATACAATTAGATTATTGAATCAAATGTACAATACAGTATACAAGTATTAAGAAGTTATACTAATTTTAGTTTATTATAAATTAAAATTATATTTAAATATTATTTTGCAATACTAATACCGTGTAAAATATATCGTGTAATAAAATTTATGTAGATTTAAACATTTATTTATTATGGAAAGTTTTATGTTAAAATATTAAATATTTTATTTGACAAAAAAATAAATTATTTATTTATTTTAATAAATTTTAAATTAGCATTATTTAAACCAGTTTATATTTATTCAGATTTTTAATGTAAATTGAAAATTTCATTATTAACTGGTAATAAATATTATTGAATTTTAGCCGGGAACCTCTGACACGTGATATTCTTACCATCCGTGTCCTGCAAATACAACAGCACATCCAGGTTCATTGGTGTGATTTGATGGTGTAGTTTGGGCACCGGTAGTGTAATCTCCAGCATATTCTCACTGCTTTTGGTGAGGGGACATTTGAGCGATGTGAAATCACTATTACACGCATCCCTGGGTTAACAAAATAAATATTTATACAATTAAATAATTATTATAAATGCATGATACGTACGCTGATGTATAGAAAACAGCCGGGCCACTCTCGAGCTATCAGTTAGTTATAATAATAATAATTAATAATTAATAAAATTATTTCTAATATATTTTAAATACTCACAATACCATAGATCGTAAGCATAGCTGACTTTGAATCCACGTCTAAAACATTGCAAAAAATATTTTATTTATTTTAAATGAA